TTTTTGGTTTTTTGTTTTTTTTTTCAAAATAGTACCAAACAGTTCACATTGTGTAGGCCAAATTAACTATTGTCCTAGTTTTTATTTTTATTTTTTTACATGCTCGCGTCTTAATCGTCTGACTCGACTTCTTGTAGACGTCTTGCTTTCTTCTTTTGATTTTTAGGGAATTTAGTTTTTTGGAATTCCCTTTTTCTTTGGGTTTTCACTCAGAGATGTATTTATCCTTCTTCACTAAAAATCTTAAACCAGATAATGATTTCTCTTGATATTCACAACTTTGAGTCTCACGAAAATCTTTCTAAACTCAGGCCCTAAGCCTGCTGTCTCGCGCAGCCCATGAGTGCTCGCCTCATCCCTTATGTTGCTCTCAGCAACTCGCCAGCCTTGCCAGCCATCTTGCGCAGCCCCGCAAAAAATCTGCCCCACATCGCCCAAGCAACTCGCGTAGCTCATGAGTTCCTTCTCGCGTGGGTGGCGAGTTTCTTGCATCTTTGTACAAGGTCCGCGACTTATGATTTATCACACATTATTACACATTTGATTTAACTAGTAAGGTGCACGTGCTTGGCACGTGAACCATTGGTTTTGTCTAATTAATTTGCATGTTTTTAAGTTGATTTTATTAAAAATATGTTATTTCTTATATACATTTTAAGTTAAATATAAGTATATATAGATATGTGTGTGTGTGTGAGTGTGTTGCAAATGGCTATGATCATACATATATATTTATTATGAGAAACAAATTGCTAAGGGCGTGATTATATATGAGTTATAACCAGTCTTAATCGGTTGAGTTATTTCATATCCAATCATGTAACTCAAAAGAAAACTCAACTTAACCTCCTACTTTTTAAAAATATAAACAATCATTCTCATTTTTTTTTTCCGAAACGATAGAAATGATATATAAAATGCACAAATGTGCACCAGTACAACCACCAGCTGAATACACACCCAGCCACCAGCTGAATAAAATTAGGAGGACAGGTCAAAAGACCGCCTAGAACCGACCCTAACAAGGTAATACCCTAACCAACACAAAACACAACACTAAAACGACCCCAATAGGGTAAAAAAACATGACACTAAGACGACCCCAACAGGGTAATGCTCGAGTGTAGGATCCCAACAGGATAATAAGGTCATACTCGAGCGAACCGGGGCCAACGGCCCAAACCTAAAATACTAAAACAACAGCAACACACAACTCAACAACAACTACAACACACCTACAAGAGACAAAACAAACGGAAACGAAAACAAACGGAGCCCTTCCTCGTTGCACGATCTAGCCCAACCAGCAGTGAAACGATAGACACAAGAAGAAATCGAGGTCCAGAAGCTGCTACCGAAACTGCAGAAGGCCTATACAGTAGTTTAAACTGAACCCCTAACCCTTCCCCGAATCGAGCCGTCATTGATCGAGATGGCCGCAATCAATCCCCACACCGGTGCCACCCAAGACAAACTAACACCACTAGATGAGACGGATAACACCAAACCCCGTTCGTCTAACACCACTAGCCGAACCGAGAGGGTGAGCAAATATCGAGCCTTCAACCCCAACCACTGCAACTTGAACCGCCACAGCCATCGGGGTCCCTCCCTACCCAACAACGTGCACCC